AGGAGAGATAACAAAAAGACTTAATTTATTAAGAGCTACAAAAGACAGGATATTGTGGAGCTCCACGATCGCTAACACGGTACATAGAAGAAGAAGAAGAAGAAGAAGAAGAAGAAGAAGAAGAAGAAATTCGAATATGTTTACTAAAGATCTTAAAGTTAAAAAGTTAAAACAAGAGGCAAAATTTCATATCTAATCGTCTGAGTTCAAAATAGGGTAAGGTCATTTTTATGTCAATTCGTCTGGGTTAAAAAAGAGATAAGATCTTTTTTTTTCATTTTAAATCAACTATGTAAAAAAAAGGGTAAGGTTTTAGATACTCTGGGTGGGAAAAAAAACAAGTTATTTCCAATTCTAAATCGAGCTCATGGAACAAGATGAAAGGTTTGCATATTTAAAGTTGTTTGAACCGACAGGAGATAAGGTTTCCTTCTTTGAAATTGTCTCATTTGAACAAGAGACAAGCTTTCATTATTTCAAATCGTTTGACTAGAATAGGAAAGAACGTTTCCTTATTGTACATCGTCTACGACGAAAGAAAAACAATATCATTTTTTATGCCAAATGAATGGAGTTGAACAAGGCATTAGTATTTTCTTCACATCTTTTCGAGAAGAAAATATAAGGTTTCCTTAATTCAAATAGTTTGTGTCGAAGAAATAACAAAATCGTTTTCAATTTCAAATCGACTGGGTGGAACAAGAGAAAATATTTCTGTATTTCAAAACATCTGGGTTCAACAAGGATAAGGTTTCCTTTTTCGATATGGTGCATAGCTAAGGAGAGACAGCTTTCATTATATCAAATCGTTTGGCTAGAATAAAAGGGAGAATTTTTTTTTATTGTAAATCGCTTGCGTCGAATGAAAGACAAGATCATTGTTTTAATGTCACATGAACGTTAAAGAAATATTTTTTCTTCAAAATCTACTGTGGAAGAAGAGATAAAGTTTCTTTATTTCAAACAGTTTCTATCGAAAAATAACAGAGAGATTTTCAATTTCAAATCGACTGAGTGAAACTGGAGCAAATATTTCTGTATTCCAAAATATTTTGGTCTAACGAAAGATAAGGTTTCCTCCTTTGAAATTGTCTAAGTCGAACAAGAGACAAGGGTTCGTTATTCGAAATCTTGTGCATTATAATTTCTGTGTCGAACAAGAGACACGGTTTTTGAATTACAAATATACCGAGAGAAGCAAGAGACAAAATTTAATCCTTCCAAATCCAATGCGCCGAACAATAAACAAGGTCTTGTTGGGTCAAGCAAATGTCATTTGGGGTCAAATACTCCGAATCAAAAAGAGAAAAAAGCTTTCCTTATTTAAATTCATTTGAGTCGAACATGAAACAAAGTTTCTTATTCTTTTATGTGCTGTGTATCTTCAAGACGTAGGCGATCATGGCTCTCCACTTCATCCTATCCCTTGTAGCTCTCAATAAGTTCCGTCCCTCTTCCACCTCCCCCAGACCACGTTCTGTCATCCACTTGCTTAAGCCCGTTAGGTATGTTATGCGTTGTTTTTTCTTGTCTCTCTTTCCCTCTATTCGACTTTTAAGTACCGTGTCCCTTCAGGACGTTGGCGATCATGGCTCTCCACTTCCTCCCTATCCCTTGTAGCTCTCAATAAGTTTTTTTTCTTTTTGCTACTTCTCCCAGACCCTGCTCTGCCTTCCACTTGCTTAAGCCCGCTATGTCACGCGTTGCTTTCCCTTGTCTCTCTTTGCCACTATGCGATTCTCCAAGCTCTCCTGTCTCATTATGTGTCCCAGAAATTTCAGTTGCCTATTCCTGATGTTAAGTATAAGCTTCCTCCTTGTTTTCATGCTCTCCAAAAACTCATTGTTGCTCACACGCTCGGTAAATGATATCCTCATTATCCTTCTGTAGAACCATACCTCCGTTGCCTCGAGTCTCTTCTTTATCTTTGAGGAGACCGTCCAACATTCGCTGCCGTAAAAGTGGACAGATATCACGTAGCAGTTCAGTAGTCTTTTCTTTGTTACCAACGAAATCCTTCTGTCTCTTAATACTCTGCTTAACTTTTGGAATGCGTCTTTAGCCATTCCAATACATCTTTGGATCTCAGCGTCGCACTTACCGTTCTCTTACAGAACACTTCCCAGATATTTATGCTTCCGCACCTGCTTGATTTTAGTGTCCCCGACCTATAAATCGCATTCGGGCTAATCCTTTAAATGATGACGATGCATTTTGTCTTATTGTATTTTTTTGCTTAGTCCCTTCTTCTCGCTCTCCTTCACTACCTTCTGTAGGAAGTTTTGTAATTTCTTTTACTTGTCTACTACCATCACTGTGCCATGCGCGTATCTTATGTTGCTAAGATTGGGAAACAAGGTTTACTTATCATATAATATATCATAATTCTACTTTTTTTTTTAATTATTTGCATGTACGTTACGATCTGTCGTTACCTCAGATAAACAATAGACCTTTCCTGTTTGATTGTGAGGATAGGCAGAAGGAAAGATATACCAAAGGCAATGTTTGGTTTTTAAAAAAGTAACGGAAAAGAAAGAAAGGGAAGACCGAGAAGGCGAAAACACTCTCATGTCATTACCTCAGATTATTATTATTAAGGCAAGTAATATTAAACATAACATCACATAGATTTAACACAGAAGGTAAGGTTAGGCTTCAAGACCACTAGAAAGCTGTAACACGAGGAAAAATCATGCATGGCTGACCACATATGGAGAGAAAATGGAGATCACCGCCCTCTGTGGGATCAGGTTGAGATCATAGCCAAAGAACACCATTCGAAAATTGGTAAACTTAAACAATCAGCGCATTATCTCCTGTGCCGAATAAGCATAGAAATGAATACAATATGGGAACCAGTAATAAGGAGTGCCAGAGAAAAGCGATAATAACAACAAAAATTGCAATATGAGCTATGGTAAAAACATATAATGATAACAGCAAAAATTGCAATATGAGCACTGGTAAAAAAAAAAGGTTACTGAAGACATTAGGTTTATAATACCCAGAAATTCATATACAGATGTCCTCAAGGACACATAACGCAGTGGATAAAGGCGTTAGTTAGAACCAGTGACAGTGTGAGTTCAATACCCGGTCAAGTCAGTGGAGAACTGATAACTAACATCCATTAAACATTGCACGTGGAACTAGAACAGTCTACCCCAGTGAGAGAAATAAAGGGTTCAGTTCGACATTCCACCCACCTGAAGAATGCCGGAGCGTACAAACATTGTGATAAATATGGCGACAAAGATGAGGACAATAGTCCGAATAATATAAATAGAAATCTATTTATTTTCACCATCACGTTTATGAAGCCTTGAGCTTGTCAGCGCAGTGGCTATGTGAGATGTGAAGACAGGACTTGAACAACATGGATTCTCTGGTCCGTGACTATTGTTTTCAGTGGCTTCACCTGAATTGTATTTGCAAGTGTACCATTCCCAAGCGCAAGAATAGGATTTGCAGAGACTGTTATGCCTGAAGTGCTTAAAATATGCAGAGATTTTTATATTTCTTTTAATAATTGATGATGAATAAAGGATGTTAATACGTGTTTTAACAAATGATGGTGGTAAAGATTTTAAATTATTTTAACAATTGATGGTAAAAATAAATAAACGTCTGTGTTAAACTATAATAATAAAAAATATTTACGGGCAAAATATCCTGAGGGTTTATTTTACCGATAAATAAGCTTATAAGTATCTATTTTACCTGGATCGGCAAAATAGCTTTTTTCTTATAAAAAAAGTAACGAAATAGAAAGAAAGAAAGAAAGAAAGAAAGAAAGAAAGAAAGAAAGGGAGGAGGCAATAACACTTTTATGCTATTACCTCAGATAAAACAATGGACTGGTTGATTGCAGGATAAACAGAAGAAAAGGTATAGACGTTGTTTGAATTTAGAGAAAGTCATGGAATAGAAAGAAAGAAAGAAAGAAAGAAAGAAAGAAAGAAAGAAAGAAAGAAAGAAAGAAAGAAAGGGTAGATAGAGGAGACGATAAAACTCCCATGTCATTACCTCAGAAAAACAGTGGACCATTCCTGTTTGATTGCGCGGAGAACAGAAGAAAAGCGAAATCAAAGGCGTTGTTTGCTTTTAAAGAAACGAAAGGAAAGGAAAGGAAAGAAAGAACAAAAGACGCACAAATAAAAAAGAAAGAAAGAAAGAAAGAATGAATGAATGAAATAGAGAACGAAAGAAAGAAAGAAAGCAAGAAAAAAGAAAGAACAAAGGAAAGAAAATGTAACAAACAAACAAGCAAAGAAAGAAAGAAAGAAAGAAAGAAAGAAAGAAAGAAAGAAAGAAAGAAAGAAAGAAAGAAAGGGAGGAGGCAATAACACTTTTATGCTATTACCTCAGATAAAACAATGGACTGGTTGATTGCAGGATAAACAGAAGAAAAGGTATAGACGTTGTTTGAATTTAGAAAAGTCATGGAATCGAAAAGAAAGAAAGAAAGAAAAAGACAAATAGAAAGAACGAAAGAAAGAACGAAATAAAGAAAGACAAATAGAAAGACAGAAATAAGAGACAAATCGACAAATAGAAAGAAAGAAAGAAAGAAAGAAAGAAAGAAAGAAAGAAAGAAAGAAAGAAAGGGTAGATAGAGGAGAGGATAAAACTCCCATGTCATTACCTCAGAAAAACAGTGGACCATTCTTGTTTGATTGCGCGGAGAACAGAAGAAAAGCGAAATCAAAGGCGTTGTTTGCGTTTAAAGAAAGGAAAGGAAAGGAAAGAAAGAAAAAAAGACACACAAATAAAAAAAAAAGAAAAGAATGAATGAATGAATGAATGAATGAATGAATGAATGAAATAGAGAACGAAAGAAAGAAAGCAAGCAAGAAAAAAGAAAGAACAAAGGAAAGAAAAAGAAACAAACAAACAAGCAAAGAAAGAAAGAAAGAAAGAAAGAAAGAAAGAAAGAAAGAAACAAGCAAACAAAGACAGAAAGTAAGAAATGGAAAATAGAGGAGGCGATAACACTCATGGGACCGGTAAAATAAGCTTAAAAGCATGTTTGTCTAGTTTACCGGAACCGGCAAAACAGCGTCTTCCTATTTTGAATGCAAATTGTATGTAATAGTCACTCCATCGTCTCCGTTTTGTTTGGAATTTCGCGCCCTTTTCAAAAAAGCTTTTTATGTTGAAAACCAAGACGGAAAAATAGCTAAAGTTTATATATCAGTGTTTCAATCAAATGAATCTTTGTGGCGAATAAAAACAAACACAGGAACAAAACAAAAAAGATGTTCATATGTGTGTAGAGATGAGCAAATAATCTTATAAATTCTTCGAGTCTCACAATGAACCGATCATAACCCTTTGTCAAAGTTCAATAATTTTATAGAGTTTAAGAGCTTTTAGGCGGCAGCAGCCAAGTTATATTTAACAAGTAAATATTTCCTACTATTTCTAGCCTAGTGTTTATATTTAGGCGGTTAAGAATTAATGCCTATGTGCCAAACCAGATTAACTTATATAAATATCTACAGACAGTCTATTACAGAAAAATTCAACAATGGATCATCTTTCATTCATTCTTTCTTTCTTTCTTTCTTTCTTTCTTTCTAAATCTTAGTCTATTTTCCATTCTTCTTTCATTGTCACGTATCAATATTTTTCTTTCTTTCTTTTTAGTCGATAATTTTCTCTTTAATCTTTTATTCTCAAGAGACATTAACTTTTGTTTCTTTCTTTCTTTCTTTCTTTCTTTCTTTCTTTGCTTGTTTGTTTTTTCTTTTTTTTTCTTTGTTCTTTCTTTTTTCTTGCTTGCTTTCTTTCTTTCGTTCTCTATTCATTCATTCATTCATTCATTCTTTCTTTCTTTCTTTTTTATTTGTGCGTCTTTTGTTCTTTCTTTCCTTTCCTTTCCTTTCTTTAAAAGCAAACAACGCCTTTGATATAGCTTTTCTTCTGTTCTCCGCGCAAACAGGAATGGTCCACTGTTTTTCAGAGGTAATGACATGGGAGTTTTATCGTCTCCTCTATCTACCATTTCTTTCTTTCTTTCTTTCTTTCTTTCTTTCTTTCTTTCTTTCTTTATTTCTTTCTATTTGTCGATTTATCTCTTATTTCTGTCTTTCTATTTGTCTTTCTTTCTTTCGTTCTTTCTTTCGTTCTTTCTATTTGTCTTTCTTTCTTTCTTTCTTTCGATTCCATGACTTTCTCTAAATTCAAACAACGTCTATACCTTTTTTTCTGTTTATCCTGCAATCAACCAGTCCATTGTTTTATCTGAGGTAATAGCATAAAAGTGTTATTGCCTCCTCCCTTTCTTTCCTTCCTTCTTTCTTTCTTTCTTTCTTTCTTTCTTTCTTTCTTTCTTTCTTTCTTTCTTTCTTTCTTTGCGTATCATTTTCCTCTTTTTCTTTTATTTCTTACCAGCCATTTTTTTTACCTTCTTACATTCTTTCTTTCTTATTTCCTTTCTTTCTCCCTTCATAATTCATCATTTTCTCTTTTCAAATTTATCCACATAAATCATTTTTCGTTTTTCTTAATTTCATTCTTTCTTTCTTTCTTTCTTTCTTTCTTTCTTTCTTTCTTTCTTTCTTTCTTTCTTCTCATTTCATCATTTTTTCTTTTCTACTCACGAGTCATTTTTCTTTCTTTCTTTCTTTGGATCGCTACATCTCGTTTTTTTTTTTTTTTTCGATGATCCCGTTCCCTCTTTTTCTTTCATTTTCTTTTTAAGTTCCATATTTATTTCTTTTAACTGCAGCACATTGCTTTTTCTTCTTTCTTTCTTTCTTTCTTTCTTTCTTTCTTTCTTTCTTTCTTTCTTTCTTTCTTTCTTTCTCATTTTCTCCTTTTATTCCTAGGAAACCTTTTTCTTTCTTACTTAAATTCTCACTCTCTCTCTCTTTCTTTCTTTCTTTTTCTTTTATTCTCACGAATAATTTTAATTCTCTATTTCTTCTCAAGTCATCATTTTTATTTTTTTATTTTTTATTTTCTTCTCACGAGTCATTTTTCATTCATTCTTTCTTTGTTTCTTCTCAGTTCATTTTTATTTTTATTCTCACGTATCATTTTTCTTTCTTTCTTACATTATTTTCTTCTTTCTTTCTTTCTTTCATATTTCATCATTTTCTTTTTTTTTCTTTTATTCTCTCGGATCACTTTTCTTTTACCTAATTTCTTTCTTTCTTTCATTCTTCTTAGTTCATCAATTTCACTTTTTCTTTCATTCTCACGAGTATATTTTTTGGTCTCTTTCATTCGATTTTTCTTTCTTTCTTCACTTCTTCGTTCATAATTATCTCTTTTTTATCTTCACGAGACATTTTTCTTTCATTCTTATTTTCTTTCTTTTTTCTTAGTTCATCATTTTATTACCAGCAATTTATTTTTGTTTCTTTTGTTTTATTCTTTCTTTCTTCTTAGTTCCTCGTTTTCGTCTTTCTTTTATTTTCATCAGTCATTCTTTCTTTCTTTCTTTCTTTCTTTCTTTCTTTCTTTCTTTCTTTCTTTCTTTCTTCTAAGTTCCTTATTGACTCTTTTTTATTCTCACGAATTATTTTTCTTTCTTTCTTACTTTCATTCTTTCTTTCTCTCATGAGAACTGGTAAAAAAAAAGGTTACTGAAGACATTAGGTTTATAATACCCAGAAATTCATATACAGATGTCCTCAAAGACACATAACACAGTGGATAAAGGCGTTAGTTAGAACCAGTGACAGTGTGAGTTCAATACCCAGTCAAGTCAGTGGAGAACTGATAACTAACATCCATTAAACATTGCACGTGGAACTAGAACAGTCTACCCCAGTGAGAGAAATAAAGGGTTCAGTTCGACATTCCACCCACCTGAAGAATGCCGGAGCGTACAAACATTGTGATAAATATGGCGACAAAGATGAGGACAATAGTCCGAATAATATAAATAGAAATCTATTTATTTTCACCATCACGTTTATGAAGCCTTGAGCTTGTCAGCGCAGTGGCTATGTGAGATGTGAAGACAGGACTTGAACAACATGGATTCTCTGGTCCGTGACTGTTGTTTTCAGTGGCTTCACCTGAATTGTATTTGCAAGTGTACCATTCCCAAGCGCAAGAATAGGATTTGAAGAGACTGTTATGCCTGAAGTGCTTAAAATATGCAGAGATTTTTATATTTCTTTTAATAATTGATGATGAATAAAGGATGTTAATACGTGTTTAAACAATTGATGAAAAAGATTTTAAGTTATTTTAACAATTGATGGTGAAAATAAATAAACGTCTTTGTTAAATCCGTGTGTTTTTTTGTTTTTTTTTAATTATTTCATAATAATAAAAAAATATTTGAAGGCAAAATAGCCTGAGGGTTTATTTTACCTAAACCGGAAAAATAAGTACAGCTTTTAATTCTCTTTAGATCAGCTAGCTGAATACGTTAAATAAATCCGGCGAGAAGACACATCCTTGTCTTACGACCCTTTAAACTTTTTTTTGCATTTACTTTTACTCAATTTATTTTCTATCCACATGCAGGCGGTTTGTACCCAGTAAATGTTCTGAATGATTTATTATATTTTTCCAAACATTTCTAAAACACTCTTGTCGTATCTTATCAAATACTTTTGCCTAGTTTATGTAACATAGTAATACACGCTTCTATATTTACATTGCTCCCCTGATAACGTTTCGTAGTAGAAAGTATATTTTCACCAGAAATTATAAGCAGTGACGAAAAAAAAAAAAAAACTAATTAAGGAAGTGAGGAAAAACTATTTTCTTAGATCTGTCATTTGAACCATCTACTGATTAAATGGAATATTTCGGTTCTATTTTTGGGAGATCAGTTTTCCATTTAGCCACATTAAATTCGAGTCCAAAAGCCCAATGTGCTAACCATATGGTTAAACCTTTTTGCACTGAATGACGTCTAGCAATTCTGCGGATACAGGAGTGGCTGAAAACCAAAACTAAAATAAAATAAAATAAAATTACAGATAAATGTCAAAAAGGATTTCTTGAATGAAAATTCAATTTTTTTACCTTTCACTGAATATACAGCATAGGATTATTAAATGGAAACTAATTCAAGGGAAATATTGCTCATGCCTGTCTCGCACTAATGTTTCATCAAACAAGTTTTCGTTTTTGAGGACTGACTGGTTAAATTGTCCATAGATTTTTTCCGGACAATTTCGGTTAGTATTTTTCAAGGAGGGAGTAATTTTTAATGGAACGGAGGATTGTTAATAGATTTTCTCGTTGTCTAACATGTTTCACTTTTATTCAAGCTTCATCATGTAATAAAAATGAATAATAAGTAATTATCATACTTATTATAAAACCCAGGTTGTGTGTGTGTGTATGTGTGTGTGTGTGTGTGTGTGTGTGTGTGTGTACGTTTATATATTGGATCGGATTTCCTACATTTTTCAACAAAACTTCACAGGACTACTTAAAATTACCTTGTGGTGGTTCTGACTGCACCAAAAATTGGAAAAACACAACTGTTTTTGCACAAAATCAATTTGAAAACACGATTAAGAGGCATCACGAGAATGAAAGAGGGACAACTCATATCGAGTTATACTTATAAAACCCAGGTTTTGTTTGTTTGTGTGTGTGTGTGTGTGTGTGTGTTGTTCGTTTATATATGCGATCGGATTTCCTACATTTTTCAACCGATTTCAACAAAACTTCACTTTTTTTGGCTGGTAGCGTTTCTTATTGTCTTGCACACTTTTCTCTTTATTTTTACATTCAGAATGCTTTAAAAATTCCATTTGCAAGACAAGTGTTTATAATAAAATTCTATTCAATCGGTAGACTCATAACGATTGAAAACAATGTTTTTGTTTGAGTTTGGGTTTGACCAATTCGTAAAAAAACAAAAAAAAACTAATGCGTGTCTGTCAACCTTAAACAATAATCTTTGTCAATTTTATTTTTCAGTCTTTATGATGGTCGATACTTGATCTATCTCTTACTGTTACATCCCCGGGCAACGCGGGGCTCTACTGCTAGTAATTAATAAAAGTGAAAGATATTAGATTGATAAATGTTGCCTATTTGTTCATTTTATTTTCATTTTTATTTTATCATTCTGTTCGATTTCAGCCCGTATTTGATCTGTATTTGATTACAATTCATATGATGGACTCTCCCGTCGTATTCGACGTATGAGGGTCAGCAACTCAGTTCCTAGGAACTGACAGCCAGACACCAGCACATATGATTTGATTATCGGGGATTATAGTGCAGAACAACCCACACTTTTTGAAGGTCTAAATACGGAGACCTGGTGCACTACGTGCCACAAGGTGCCAAACGACCCTCCCCAGTATCTGTTTATATTTCTGAGATGAGGTATTATGTGCACTATTTACATTATTCGGACAATTGTTCACATCTTTGTTGCCATATTTATCACAAAGTTTCGGCCGTTGTACACTCCGACCTTCTTCAGGTGGTTGGAATGTCGAACAGAACCCTTTATTTCTTAAGGACACATGGCACAGTGGATAAAGGTGTTGGCCCAAAGAGTGTTGGCCCAGTGACAGGGCCCAAAGAGTGTGAGTTCAATACCTGGTTAAGGCAGTGGAAAACTTGTAGGGGTGAATTAACAGGAGATAACTGATAACTGACATCCATTAGACATCGCACGTGGAACTAGAACAGTTTACCCCAGCGAGCAAAATAAAAGGTTCGTTCGATATTCCAACCACCTGAAGAAGGCCGGAGCGTACAACGGCCGAAACTTTGTGATAAATATGTGCAACAAAAATGAGGATGGTAGTCCGAATAATGTACATAATACCTCATCTCTGAAATATAGACAAATACGTGATAAATATGGCGACAAAGATGAGGACAATAGTCCGAATAATGTAAATAGTGTACATAATACCTCATCTCAGAAATATAGACAGATACTGAAGGATCGGATAAATATGGCGACAAAGATGAGGACAATAGTCTGAATAATGTAAATAGTGTACATAATACCTCATCTCAGAAATATAGACAGATACTGAAGGATCGGATAAATATGGCAACAAAGATGAGGACAATAGTCTGAATAATGTAAATAGTGTACATAATACCTCATCTCAGAAATATAGACAGATACTGAAGGATCGGATAAATATGGCGACAAAGATGAGAACATTAGTCTGAATAATGTAAATAGTGTACATAATACATCATCTCAGAAATATAGACCAAGAGTGTTATCGTTGTTATTTTTCTATAAGTATTAGTTTTTTATTATTATTGAAGAGGAGATTGTGGTAGTTCGAAGGTTTAGTTTCGTATATAATTTTAGACTTTAATCCACATCTTAGAATTTCTGATGTTTTTAATAACTTGATTTAATATCTGTTGGAATTGGTTGGATGGTTTTCTAAACTTATTTCTTTTTAAATTAAGCTAATCATATCAGCTTCGAATGGGATCTAGAAGTTTATCACTACGTACGGTATTTTGGGATTTTACAGTATGTTTTTCCTTTTTTCAATTTCCTGTGTCTGTAGAGTTTAAGCAAAGTATGTTTTCAATCGTAATCTTTTTATAAGGACGATTATTTTATCTGTGAGTGATAGAGTGAGAAAATGCAAAGATGGGTAGGGAATGTTTTTCTGGGAATCGTCCGAGTAAATTTATCCATTTGGTGATGAACATCTAGATAATTAAGGTAATCAAAAGGAATATTCCAAAGAGATCTCAACTTATGGATATAAGCAATTATAAATATTATCAATTTATACACACACACACCCACACACACACACACACACACACACATATATATATATATATATATATATATATATATATATATATATATATATCACGCGTAAATTCATCTTCATCCCTGCCGTGCGCCAACGACTTATTGGTAGAATCCCGACTGACGCCAATTCAGTCAGGTTTCAATCCATAGCTTGAGGCAACCGGGCGTCTAGCCACATTGATGAACTGTGATACAGCGGAACAGTCTCTCTGTAGATAACAATATATATATATATATATGTGTGTGTGTGTGTGTGTGTGTGTGTGTGTGTGTGTGTGTGTGTAATTTAAAACAAAAAACAATAGGGATCCGATTGTAAGGTGGAAATTTTAGAAAAATGGTAAAGACTTACAACAATCACAACAATATTTTCAACCTCTACCAACAGAAAAAAATTAGCGATTATGATCTTTCCGGAACCATAAAACCATTTAAACCAGAAATCCGAAGTTTTATGTCCTTGTTTACACATTAAAAACGTTTATCTTAAGAATATATGAGGCTGGATAAAAAAATAGTAATGTACATTTCCAGTAACCAGACTCCGAAACATTTACAATACATTTGCTTTTGTTCTCTTCTTCTTCTTCTTCTTCTTCTTCTTCTTCTTCACATCCTCCTCCTCCCTTTTTATTACACCCAAAATAGTGCGTTTGTTTATTTATTTTAGCGTTCATTAGTTGTAAAAAAATAAAACGTTCAGAGGTCATTTAATAAAAATCGCCTGAGGATAGCGTAATTTTGAAACGAAGGTAGCAGATTCAACCTCCCTCCTGATTTTTAAAGTTAACAGCTCTATTATTTTTACTTTATTTTATTTTTTCACA